CCCCCCCCCCCCATATGTTTGCGCATTGCAAACAACAAATAATACCTTACCCAATTAGTTGTAATGATGATAAATGATGTAACACAAAGAGAGCTATTTTTTACTCTGAAAGTATAATAAACACGAAAGTATCCTACGAAATTGTATCTATGAATTTTAACTACAACTTTGGTATAGTTAAGAGGTTCCACTCTAAATATTCTTCATCTTTGTAATATGTGTTTCGGGCAGGAGGTAGGTGCGTGTTTAGCAGCAAGGCTCTCACTAAAAGTCTCTCTTTCCCTTTCATTCTTAGTTAAAGATTAAAAAGGAAACAATTTTTAGTGTTTGAAGGCTTTGTTGATATCCTCTAAAAGCAACATGCCTTTTAGGCTGAGATTCAGCCGATTTCAATGGGAAAACTTGTTCAGTACCGTCTCTTACAAAATTTAACTGGATATAAATGCACTTAACGTTTGACGTCGTTGCTATAAACTAATTCAATGGTAGTGGAACTGGCTAACATTTAACTATGATTCTACCATAAAAGTAGCACGACTGAAAAAGCCATGAGAAACACGTCATGCAAGACCACAGGTGTCTTCCCAGCAATCTGATCAAAATCACCTTGGAAAAAAAAGCAAATGGTTAAAATGGAAGAATAAAGAATTAAATTAAAAGAAAGGATAACAAACTATTTATATGACAAACTATATTCCTCTCTCTCTGAGCAGTTTTATGGCGAGCCGTTACAGACTGAGAATGAGAGTGAGACAGAGTGAGACTTAATAGAAAATCACTGGCGAGATTGATTTTCACTTGCTTGCCAAAAAAAAGGAAACTATTTAGCGAGAAAAAAGAAACCCGCTGGTGAGATATTAGAACTCGCCAGCTAGGAAATAGGAAGCTGACAGTAGCTCAGAAAACTAAGGACTGTTGTAGAAGGCTTTATGATAAAACCGATGCTGCATCTGGTAAACCGTATATATTCAGAAATCAGCCTTATATCAAATTCGGTTTTGCTTAGAAATTATAAAATCTATAATCTCTCGGTTTTGTTTAAGACCCAGTTAGGACAGTTCTTCACAAATGTACAAGGTTTCAACTTCTATTCGTGGGCTGCGTTTGTGACTTCTTTAAGTCACCAACGCAGCTCTTTTGCCCTAGATGGGAAACCCTTTTTTTCAACTGTTATACTATACTTTTTCAGCTGTTGTGCTCGATTTTGTTTTTCTTTCTGTTTTTGTTTTCACCGAATTTAACTCTGCATACAGCCTTAAAGTCAAAGTAGTCAAAGAAACCGAAGGACTGGATTATATCAAGAAGTACCTTTAACGCTAATGATGAACCTTTATTCAAGCATTAAAATTCTCAATTTATACAACATACACCTATTTTAAATAGGAAAGATTATCTTTTCGTTCAAGATAGGCCGTCTTCCTGATGTTATGAAATATTATTTTCGTTGTCGAGTCGCATTCATTTCTATTACACCAGACAACGCAATTCATTTTACATACTCCTTTGCAGAACATATAAGAGACAATTTGAGTTGTGTTCCTAAGGTACTAAATTTTTCAATATAGAAATCCAAAGTGTTGGGCTCCTTCCCTGTTAAGTTTAAATTGCGAGCATTTCTCCCAAGTTGTCTCCCCTCTTTCTTTTTTTTTTTCTTACTTTTCTCGAGATTCTTGAGTATGTGTTTGTTTCAGTGCCTGCTATTGTTGTTGTTGTTTTCTGTGTCTGTGTGTTCTTTCCTTTTTAACCTAAAATATTTTGTACTTAAATTACGCCATGTAATTGACCTCTCACTTTATAAAATAAGAGGACCTTCTAGCAAGCTTAAGCCTCTACGAAGTTTCTCTACGGGTTTCCTCGCCGCATATTAAATTTTCAGTTATATTATATTCATGTATACGGAATTCCTTTAATTCATACTGCTGTATTACAATTACAAAGTTGCAAAATAAGCAAATAAGTAACAAGCAAATAAACCGGTCATCAGTTATTGCTTGTGAGGGGAGGACTTTTGGAAGTGATCACATGGTTTTCAGGGGGTACGGAGGGAAGATCAGTCTACGCTAACAGAGTATAAACAGGGAGACTGTTAACAATTGACAGCCAATGAGAAGGGATCATTACAATACTACAGAGTCTTGAGGGAGGAAAATTTTTTAATTGCTACACAACCAAAATTCTCTGACCTTCCCCACCCCCCTCCCTCGGGCAATAAATAATGACTTCCCCCTACCTCCGGCTTCAACGAGGTCAAAGCGCTGACACTGATCTTCAGTGATGTTGTTAAAGCAGCCTGTTTGCAGACAGCAGTAATAAACTCCAAAGTGAACTTTGCTCATGTCCGTGATGGTCAAGTAATAGGGATCGTAAGGTCCGTTATGGGTGACATTGTAATGCTCGTCCGTCGAAGAATCTAAAAAATAACATTAAAGAGAGTTGTGAAGCTGATTGACCAAGCAACTTTTGGTTGACGGCCGATGGTTGGTAAGGAACTGACAAATTGACTGACTCGCCGGCGGACTTATTAGTAAGATGGTTGATCCCACTGAATCACAACAATCAACAAACAAACTGACCAACAAACTTACTGTCTTAGAAATGATCAATGATTTCACTGACTGAGTAACCGCGGGACCGGAAGACAGACAGACTGAATAATTGACCGACTGACTGACTGATTGACTGAATAACTGACTGACTAACTAAATGATTAACTGACTGACAAACTGGCTTACTGACTGACTGACTAAATGACTTACTGATCGACCGATTGACTGACTGACTGACAGACTGAACGACTGACTGACTCACTGATTGATTGATTGATTGATTAACTAAGTGACGTACATAATGTAAAACTGACGGAATTGAACGCTTAACTAAAAGCAATCATGTCCAGCTCAAACTTACTTATGCAAGATGTAACTGTTTCGTCGCGCTCATTCTTTAATTTCCATTCCACCTTCAGAGGGTATCCTCTGGCACTGCACTCCAAAGTTACATTGTCTCCCGGCTTTGCCTTGACTATTTTTTTATCTTTATCTTTAAACAATGGTTCAACTAGAATAAAAGAAAATGGTGATAATAATGATGTTATGACGACGACGACGACGACGACGACGACGATGATAATTTTGATGATGATAATGATGACGATGATGAGAATAAGACGCATGTTTCTCCCAAAAATTTCAAAATCATCTTTGGGTTTCCATTGACTGATTTGGAAAAATTATTACCTTTTTTGAACCGTCTTTCACCCTTACGCACCCTTACGCAGAGGGATCAAAATGTGTCAATAGATAAGTATTCGGAAGTTCCTAACGGACTTTTATTCAACAAATGTACCAATAAAATTGAAAACCAGTGAAAAACAAGATTGTCTGACGGTCAGCCCGATTGGGATCAAAATGATGTTTCCATCTACTCAAAGAACTGACCATACATGAGTATTGACAAGCTACTAATACTTATAAGATACGTTTATGTGCTTTATACTTACTGTGAATTACAATGTAATCTGAGACCTTGTAGCTCTTGATGTGTCGTAAATTTACTTCCAACAGACAGGTATAGTTTCCGCCATCTCTGACTCCAACATCTTCAAACTTAAGTGGAGCGATAAGAACCTTTTCAATTTCTGGATCTGGATTTTGTAAACTCATCAACAATTTTCCATTTTTATACCAAGATATCCTCTTCAATGGAGTGCTGTTCTTGTTTCCTCTTTTAGTTAAGCTGCAGCTGAGTGTTAACTTATCGACGAAATTGGTATGTGGGACCACAACAAGTTTAGGGATTTCGTCTCCTAATATAAAAGAAAATAGGCAACTTAAATAATTGAAAAAAAAAAATTGTAGACAAAGTTATTCACAATGCTCGGTAATAATAGTGATGAATGCATGGAATTCAACCTACGGTCAAAATATGGTTAAGTTGAATTGCTGTCTCGTACCCAGACCTTCCATTTCAGTTATTGTTCATTTCAATAGTTACACGGTAGGACCTGGATAGGAGATTAGTTGAATTATTACCAAAATCTAGTAAATTTTTTTAAGATAAGTTAACACATGTGTCTACATGCACTTTGCAAGTAGAATGGATAGGCAAAGATCAATAACCTTGTCGAGTCTGTAAAACTGCACTTTATAGATGAAAAAGCTTACTTGTTATAACGCTAATACTAAAACCGTGTCTCTTCGGGGTTGATTCATTCTTGGCAAAAGCATGGCACTCGTAACTTCCAATGTTTCCATACTGACTGTCATCTTCAATTCCCACATTCGTGATTGTCATGGTGTTAAAAAGTTTAGGGTTTCCATCTAAAAAAATAAGGTGTTTGAGCTGTTAATGTTATCTGAAAAAAAAAATCTGTCTTTGCATGACAAATCCGCAATAACTCCTTCTTGTGCTTTGCATATCCACCAGTAAAAAAGTGGGCCGGGAAATATTACGTCGTAAGGTACTGCAATAACATAAATAAATAACGGGGAAAATTTTCATAAGTTTTCTAAGGACGAAAAATTACGCCAAAGTAATAAGTGGAGAGAAGAATAAATGTATTTTAAACCAGAAAGAAGAAGATAAAAGGGAGGAACTCAACGAAAACATGTGTGTACTCGCCTAAATATTCCGTTCGGTGTGAAAACGATAATTTTTCGCTCGGTTTCAACTCCGTATAGATATTTAAATCATCTCTCCTGAAAAACAAGATTTCCTCGGGTTCTCTTACTCCAGATGCATCAAAGGCAATGCAAGTAACACTGGCTGTAGTGTACTCCAAAGGGAAGATATTTTCAGGAAAAGGTTGCACAATGCCAAAAGTACCCTCGCCTGAAAAGAAAAGGAAGCATGAGTATTCAGGGAGATGCTTGCACATTTGGAGCCAAACCTGTTCCAAGGAAGGTCTTCACAGAATTATCGCAGCATCCCAAAATGCTCGACTAAGGTTAGAGGTATTTTAGGAAGAAACAAGATTTTCACTGTTTGCGCCTACAGAACATAGATAGGGCGATAATTGATTGAGAGATGAAAAAAAGATTCTTTTACTTTGTAATTCCATTTTTAAAGATGTTTAACTCACCGAAAAAGATTTTCACGTTTAGTTCAATTTCGTGCCCATTTGGCGCCTTTTGTTGCCATTGCTTACCATACTATAAACATTAATATGCCTTTGAAAGTTCTCTTCTCGTTGGACATCAACCAATCTTTCTCTTTCACCATTTTATTTTTCGAGCACTCAACAGTAAACGAAACGATTAAGGACGAGGTCTGTGCATCCTAAGTGATGTTCATTTCATGGCAATACTTACTTTCCTGCAAAGATATTTCCATTGACTAAGCTTGGGTAAGGCTTTTATGTGTCTGAAGATTTCACAAAACTAGCGGGGATGCAACAAAACACTGAAGCGACTGTAGAATTCCTCAAAGCCATTGCCGGTTTTGGCCTTTTCATTCTAGGAATCTCAGCAATTTCAAACACAGGAAATTTACATTTATGGGTCGCCAATCTCTTTTTGACATCAAGGTGATAATTTCACTGAAGCTTTTAGGAGTTTGAAAATTTTTTGAGTAAGAGGAATCGGAGAGCTTAGGAAAGCAATCGGTTAAGAAATTATTTTTATTTGCAATGAGCCTAGCTAGCGAAAATATGTCATTGCGAGCGAAGCTGACGTGATGTCTGTACCATTTGGCACTGTTTCAGGATAATAACGAGTTAAGACGCTCGACTGCAAACACTTGTCATACTCCTAAATACGTCCCACACACAGTTATTTCTTCGACTGGCTAGACTACATATAAACAATTATCTTCTCTCACAAGAAGTTTGGTCCATTCGTATCTAGACGTATCAGAAGTTCTTTTTGCCCATATTTTATCTGTGTTACATATCCCATTACGAGAACCTTTGTTCTGGTCATTCAGTGGGTTGTAATCACCACTGAGAATTACAAATATCAACTTATACATACCAAAAAAGTCCTAAAGTTGTTTTAATATAGTTATCAAATAGTTGGGTCCTTTCAAGATACAGAAGAATCGATTGCATGCTTGTTTGTTATTAAGGACCACGGGAAAGAGAGTCTAAAGCCTATTCGACATGGAAAACAAACAATTACACTGAGGCAACATTATAAGCCAATCTAGGATCCTCTAAAGACTTTTTTTTACAAATCCGCAAATCCTCTAAATCTGTTTAGTTTGTGTTACTTTTAAATCCGCAGACCCCTTTAAATTTTCACTCGTCTATCTGAAGAAGAACAAGGTAATTTAATATTATCATCTGAGTTGTTAACGCAAATTGGCGACGGTAAAGAGTTTAAAAGGTGACATTTCGAGCGTTATGTTAGTCCTTTGTCAGAATAATCGCTCTGACGAAGGCTAACGCTCGAAAGGTCAGCTTCAAACTCTTTACGGTGGCCAATTTACGCTATAAACTCAGTTGATAATACTAAATTACCCTGTTATACTCTCCCACCGATGCAACACCACAGTTTCTCAGGAAACTTACCCCCTTTATCTATTTGAAGAACTCTAGGATTGCTGCGGTTTCGTTTCTTACCAATATTTAGAGCTCAAATGAAAGATGTCAGCTTGTACCACTTCAACAGTCCATATCGTTGGTTATTCCAAACACCAAATTGACCAAATACTTTTAAATCAATGATTCTAGCGTATTTTACCCCAGGCGACTTAGTTCATGGTTTATTCAGGAGCCCGAATGACCCCCTGAATTTCCTCTTGTCGCTGATTTTAAATCAGAAAGTTTGTTATCTAAGCAAGTGATTTGCGTTTAGTTATTTGCGTAAATTTCCATCCTTTTTTTGAAAGCAATCTAGAGTCAAACTTCAACTGTTTTGTGAGTAAAAAAAATGGAGAGGTATGCAATACACAACTGAAGTGCATTGAACTGATTTCCATCCATGCTGACTTAAAATTGCATTAACCAACTCATAATTATCACAATTAGCCGTACCTTTAGCCATTACTACTGCACAAATAGTGCCGAGAAAGAGAAGAAAAACTTTCGTTAAAAAGGCCATCATGATATTGATTCCCCACTGCATCTCGCTTGTCTTCTCGCTATGATAATGACACGTCTGGCGATCTGCTCGTTCATCAAATGATACTGATATTCCTGCTGTGACATCATTTATAGTCTGTCTAAACTTAGTGGGCAGGAGCGGTATGGAAAGTGGACATTAATCCTTTTTTCCCCTTTTTATCTTTGTTTTTCTTCCTTTCTTGGTAAACTAGATGATCACTAACAAAGCATGCAGTTGCTTTTTTTATGATGCCAATTAAAGGCAGGCCACAATCCACTCAGACACAAACACAACCATGGTATCACTTGGGTTTTTCAGACATTCCAACAACAACCATACTGTTGCTATTCGACGCTTATAATTGTGTCAACGAGAGAGAGAGACAGTTTCGATGCTAAAGCGAAAGAACTTCGCAAAAAAGTTTCCCCGAGGAAGGAGTTACTTACACACCTTTTTTTTAAATCAAAATTTAAACACGTTTAGATTTTTTGGTTATCAGATTTCATAGACCCCTTAATGTTGCAATTGTTCCACGTAAGTGCTTTTTAGAAATGTTATAGTAATTTCACAAGTTCTTTATAGCTTTTTAGCTTCAATACTCATAAACTCGCTGAAAACCAGTTCAGTTAGTTGAAACTTCCTAGCTGTTAATTTATTTATTTTTCTTTTTGATTTATTCATATCGAAAAAGATGATGTGAAGGAAATGCTGTGAAGTCAAAGGGAACCATGTTAAAAATTTTGGTTATTAACTGGACTTGACATCTGCAGCGGCTTGCTTTATATTTCCAAACTTTTGAAAAGGTAACTTTCACTGTTCCCGCTTGCACCCAAGGCTACGAAAACTTGAAGAATTATAGTTCATAGTGTGCTTATCTATTGCAGGCACGACTCTGATCAGAATGGAAACCTAAGGGATCTCACCACAAATGTCTCAGGAGGAGAATTCTGGTCTTTTTCTTTCTAGTCAGACAATTATTCTTCTCTCCACTAATTACTATGGCGTAATTTTCCGTCCCTAGAAAACTTATGAAAACTTTCCCCGTTATTTATTTATGTTATTGCAGTACATGACGACACAACATTTTCCTGGCCCGCTTTTTTACTGGCGGATATGAAAAGCATAAGAAGGAGTTATTGCGGATTCGTCATGCAAAGACAGATTTTTTTTCAGATAACGTTAACAGCTCAAACATTTTCCTTTTAGATGGAAACCCTAAACTATTTAACACCATGACAATCACAAATTTAACAATTGAAGATGATAGTCGGTATGGAAACATTGGAAGTTACGAGTGCCATGAATTACGTTTTTTAATAAGCACGAAAAAAAATGCTTTAAAGACTGACAAGATTTTAATATCTGGACAAAAGGAGTTTATGAAAAAGATGGTGGAAGGTTGACAGAGTGACCATTGTCTCGTGACCTGTCTTAGGTCCGAGGACGCAAAGGCGAGTACTCTCGACATGATAACATTCACTCGTTTGTCCGTCTGAGCGTCAGGGCTCAGGCTCCGAAAACGTAAAACGAGTAAGCTCGACGTAATGACAAAGGAAACATGAACACAGAACCATAAAAAAAAACGATTTTCTTACGTTTCGATTGAATATTTCACTCCCTGGAGAGTTTGAAATTAAACTACGGTGTTATAAAATGGTTTCCAGCCCTGGAAAAAGCCGTAAAAACACATGAAAAAATACGATATTTTTTCACGTGTGTTTGATATCGTCAATCAGCTGCTCGCACGTCACTTGCCTTTCGCGCCACTCGGTCAGGTTGATGAATGAACGGCAAAGCCTTCACCGTTATTAATTCAAGGTCGTTTGTCGGATTGTGGCCGCTAAAAATCCGAAGAATTCGTATCACTTTTAGACAGTGACGATCAAACTTTCCTAGAAGGGAAAGAAAACCAAAATACGGAAAGAAAAACCGAACGTTACGTATTCAGTGGCTTTTGTAATAGCATTTCCCTCGGCTGAGAATGAAAATCAACAACTGGAAGATTTGCCACAAGCCGATTTTGGCTGTGCACCTGAAAGATTTCTTCTGTCGATAACGACCAATTCAATAACTGAGAATTGTGTATATTGAAAAATTAGGCCCATTGTTTGTATTTTGTGGTGATTCAAAGCAAGTTTTCATCTCGAGTGCGCCTACGCACTTTACGATTTCTATTCAGGGATTGTCGATCCTTTTATTTTCATTCACCAATAAAGTCGACTTTTCTTGTCAGTAAAGGGCTATTGTGTGTATATGATAAACAAAATAATACGTGATTGCTTGTAGATATGAAATTTCTCTTCTCGTGTTCAACTCGACATCCTACTCATTCGCTGCGCTCGCTCGTGAGCTATCGAATTAAATAATCGGAGAAAAATTCTCACCCATGTATTATTCTCTATTTATTATATAGCAGGGTATTCCTGAGCTGAATCCGAGTGCTCTTATTGGTTGTTAATCGGTCGGGATTTTGCCATACAGACCGTTTCCACGGAAACGGTCATAAACCATGTATTTTCATTCTTGAAAACCAGCAAATGCAAAATTTGAAACTAAAACCACAAAAAGGAAACCCGTAAATATCCTCATTCTTTGTAAAGAAAGTTATAAACAAGTCACCAAACGACTGATTACAATTATGGACGACGAAAAATAAAGCGATCATTCACAAGGCAAATTTTAGTATGATCTGGAAACCTCTGAAACAAGCAGTGGCGAAAGCCAGGAGGCTATTTACAATTTCATTAACAAACAGAAAGGCTTAGACACAAGAAAGAAGTTGTTAATGATATGAAAACTCTTGTTCACTACATAGATGCAAGTGAAATTATAAGCCAAAGAATTAAAAGCCTACTAACTGCATCCGAACTTGACCACCTTTCGTCAAAATTTTATCATGCACACCTGCAGGAAAAATGGAGAAATTTGCGAGCCAGAAACAACGACAACTTTGAGCCCGTAAAATCTCAGCTAATACTTGTACGGAACTAATGATACGTTGACTATTGAGTAATATACTAGAGTTTATTATTTCTTCGGTAGTTTATTTCTACATCTTTGAGCTCATAAAATTTCATCAAATTCTTGTTCGTAACAAATAATACGGTGAATTTTGTGTAATGACATCCATTGGATGTATAACTGTTTACTAAGGAAGCCAATATTCTTCAAATAAGCGAAATGATTCAGACAATATATTTTACTTAACATAACTGTAGATTTTACTTTATGGTCTCACTGTACTGGATTCTGGATTCTGTTCACAGCTTTTTGTTAATCTGGGAATGCAGGGCGGTATGTACTAACTAGCAAGGCTGTCACTTGACTTTGGGGTTTGCACTTCTACATTGTAATTACCTCTTTATATCAAATAATAACAAGGGAAAACTTGCTTACATTTGAAGTGTTTGAAAGTTGGGTCCAATATTTTGTTATTAATAGCCAAAGAAAAACACTTGGAAGACTAGTTATAACTGGCAGACTAACATGACTAATAAAACAATAGGGAAGAACTGGGGTAGTTTAACAAATTTACGCAACCGAAAAATTTAGAGGACGGTATAGGAATAATCGTGAATTAGTGACGTACAGAAGCTGTGAACATCTCCTAATATGAAAATCAGCCGAGATTAAGAGTGAAGTTCAAGTTGTTTCGTGGGCTGCCCCGTTCTCTACAATCTCAAAAGCGACACCACAAAGAAACCTGAGATGAGGAACACGTTATGGGCAACCACAGACATTGTTCCGGCAGTTGGTTCACCTTTGGAATAAAAGGGTCAAAATTGAAAAATGTTAAAATATCTAAAATGAAATTCAGTGACGGTTGACAGATTTCTCTGATATGTTACAATTTTTACAAGCGTAATTTCAATGATATTTGAGAGGTCTTTCAGCGATCTGCTCTGGTTAAGCCTCGAGCAGACAGGAATCTAGATCTAAGGATTGTCGTTGAAAGCTATTAGCAGACCGACTCTTTACCTACCGAACAAACATATTTTAACAAACCAGTTTTAAGACACAATTGGTTCAGTTACAAAGGCAGATGCACAGTATACCGTTTTAAGCTGGATTCGAGAGAACGAGACGGTATGTTTCCTGAGTTCTCCTCATGAGAGTATTTTTGTACAGTGATTGATGACTCCATCCATATGCGACATTCTTAGATAGGAAAATCTTCTCCGGGCAATGATTAGGATATTTTTGCAAGAGGATTGTGTACTTAGAGGGTGTTTTAGACATTTTCTTCAAAATGTACCTATGCACTAGCCCAAAACTTGGTGTAACTATAAATACTCACCTTTTTCATCGATTTCAAAGCTTTGACACTGATCTTCATTAACGTTCTTAGAGCAGCCTGATGGCAGACAGCAGTAATAAACTCCAAGGTCAGCTTTACTCAAGCTTGTAATGGTCAAGGAATAGGGATCGTGAGGTCCCTTCTGGCTCACCTTGTAACGCTCATCCGTTGAAGAATCTTAAATATAAACATTTATAAAAAATTCGAGAATAGTACACTTAACCGGTTGCAAATAGCATTCATACACTCACTGGCTTTTGGCTGATTGTTAATGGATGGTGGCTATGTAAAAAGTTGACTGACTGGCTAACTGATGGACTTTTATGTCAGCTGATCTACCTGACGGACTTAGTAACCCAGGACTGATGGATGATCTGACGGACTGAATGACTAACCAACCAAAAAACTAACTGACTATCTGGCCGACTGACTGACAAACTGACTGACTGACTGGCGACTAGACTCTCTGGCTGGCTGGCTGGCTGACAGAATGGTTGATAGACAGCTGAACAAACAGTATGACTCGCTTACCGACTGATTGAATGCAGAGAAGGAACTAAACCACTTACTGATAGACAATGGAAGATTTTCGAATTATGTCCAATTCAAACTTACTTATGCAAGGCTTAACTGTTTCGTCTGTCTCACTCTTAAACTTCCATTCCACCTTTATCCTAGGGTAGGATTAGGGTATCCTCTGGCTCCGCACTCTAAAATTAAGTCGTCTCCCAACTTCTTTGCGACAGTTTTTTTATCTTTACTTTCAAACCACGGTGTGACTGAAATAATGATGATGATGATGAATATAGTTGTCATAAAAAATAACAATAATGATAATAATAATGCTGATGAAAATATGAATGACAAGGCTGATGGCAATACCGATACTACTAACTACTGCTACTGATACCAATGATATAACAACTAATTACAATAATCAGTGATAATGATTATATTACTGATGATAGGGATAATAACAATAACAATAACAATAATGATGATGATGAAAATAATAAAAATGCACTAGCCCAAACCTTGATGTCACTAAAAATACTTACTTTTTTGATCGATGTCAAAGCTTTGACACCGCTCCTCGTTAATGTTCTTAGAGCAGCCCGA